GGGGCGATATGTTCTGATATCTGAGAAAACAATAGTGAGTGGGGTAGGGGTAAAGATGTTGTATTATTATCTATAATGTGGATGGAAAGGGGGGGATGGATAATTTATGGTAATAGATGGATTACATTGAGATTTATGTATTAATAGGGGGGTAAAAAAGGGGAGATGTTATATGGGGTTGGGGGGGGATGGGAATGGAATTTTTGGGAATGTATTGTGTGAATAGTATTTTTTGTGATGTATGAATGAAGATACATGAGAAAGATGATGAGTAGGGATGATGATGGAGGATGGTAAAGTAAAGATGGTAAGATATTGTGGAATATGATGGATGAGGGCACGGATTAACGGGGGATAAGTGTTTATGTAGGAATAAGGGTAAGGGGGAATCTGGGGGGAGGGTATTGTAGAGAATGGGGCATAATATATTTAATTTGGGGTATGGTAGTATTGGGGGGGGTAATTGGGGAAAATAAGAAGTAAGGTGTGATATGGAGTTAAGATATGTGAGGGGAATTGTGGAATGGTTAGGTAAGGGGGATGGATGGAGGGAATGTATGATATAGGGAAAATTATTAATATTAATATGGGTGATGGGTGAGTAGATGATGGGGGGATAATTTAAATGGTATTAAAATATGTGATTATGTGTTGAGGTACATTATTATGATAGAGTTGGTTTGGTAATAGTGTAATGATTTTGGGATTTGTATTGTTTTTAAATGGGGGGGGTGTTATAATGTTTTATGTATTTTATGTAGGGGGGTTTTGTGAGGTGGGGGGTTTTTTGTTGTATGTAGATATGAGATTAATATAATTAGTGGGTGGGGGGTGGTTTGATGGTTGTTGTATTTTTTTTAATTGTTTTTGGTTTTTAGGGGTTTTTTTGAGGATTTATGGGTTTTTATCTTAAGGGAGTTAATAATAAATGTGAATTATAGATTTACATATGAGATTATTTTAAAATAGTTCATTGTGGATATATATTATGATAGTGGGTAATAGGGGGTTTTGTTATATGAATAGAGGTTAAAAGAATAAATTTTTTGGGATGATGGGGGGGAAGGTGGGATTTAAGAGGGTTAGAGGAATAAAATGAAAGGGGAGGGTATAGGGTTAATATATAGGGAGTAAGAATGGGGATAATATGTGGGTTATGGGTGTGGGATGTGGGTTATTATGGAAAGGTTGTTAGTGGGGGGGTGGGTGGGGAATTGGAGTTAGTGGTTATTGATTGGAGGTATTGTAGTATGTTATCTGGAGACCAAAGGTTGACTTGAATAGAAATGGGGAAGTAATGTGAGTATGTACTTACTGGGAACTGGGATTTAATAAAAGGAAGAGTGAGGAGGATTGAGATTGTTGATGATGAGTATGTAGAATTTTGTGTTATTTTTATAACATCAATGGAATTTCTTGTAAGGGAAAGAATACAAAAATAATAAGTTGGTTACGTTAATAATGGGGTAACATTCGTTTTAAGTACATATATCTCTGTGGGGGGTATGGAAAGAATTGTAAGTACATGGAAGAAATATTGAAAGAATTTGATGTGGTTTTTGTTACTATTATTTTCTAGTCAAAAAATTATTGGGGGTCGATTGAATAGAGGGGTTTGAAGTATAAAGAGATTTAGGTATTGGAATGGCTACTTATCAAGAAAAATAGATTTTGTTATAATGTTCGTTAACCTGTAATACTCCGTTGAGTATGGGTAGTTGTAAGGAATGATACATGATTAGATAATGTTTGTTGGGTTTATTTGATGATAATTAGTGCTAAGTCTGGGGGTGAATTTAATGTCAAGAGAGCAATGCTGCAAAAAGGACTGATCAGATAAATATGGGTCCTAAAGTAAGCCCATTACATATAGTTTATTTTGGGTAAGAGGGGGTTAGTGGGTTATTAGAGTTAATGGCAGGTGAAGGAGTTTAGATATGGGGATATAGTAGGGATAGATGGGAGGGGGATAGGTTGTTGAGTCAATGGGAAAATTGAGGATTTAAATCAATTGGTGTTCGTGCATTACAGGTTTGGGGGGGGGGTAAAGGTGATGGGGTGAATGTTGGGGGGGTTGGTAGAGGGTTATATGTGGTGAAAAGTTAATTAGAGAATGTGGGAATTGTTATATGTGACTTGGTCTAGGATATGACTTGTGGGGGTGTTTGTTGAGTAATTATATAATGGGGAGGTAGGTTAGTGTTGAGGTGGAAAAGGGTTAAAGTTGTGTATGTAAATTATTTAGATGGGAGCAATAATTGAAGGTGGTGGGTATGTGGGGAAGGTGTGGGTGGGTTAGTGGGGGGGGTGGTGAGATGGAGGGGAAAAGGGGAGGGAGGGTATGGGGAGGTGAGAATGGTGTTATAATGAATTATATTGAATTTATTGTGATTTAGTGTGTGAAGGTTAGTGGGCGTGTGAATTGTGTGTAAGGGGATGTGGGAGATGAGGGTGGGAGGTTTGAATGAGTTAAGGGGGGGGGGGGGGATAGGGGGGGGATGAAAGGGGGGGTTAGGGAGAGTTAAGATAGAGGGGTTAAGGGGGATTAAGGTTATTAAATGAGAGGAGGAGGTAAAAGAGGAGATAGGGTAAAGGGTGTTATGATGGAGGTTGGAGATAAGGATTATAATAATAAGAATTAAAACTAGGGTAGTAATATTGGAAAGGAAGGAGGGTGGGTATGGGAAAAGTAAAAATAGGATAGGGATTAGGGGGTAGGGGTATAATGTAGGTGAGTTAGTGAGTAATGAGGAGGGGTTGGGGGGGGGATGGGTAAAAGGAGGGATGTGTAGGGGGATTTTAGGGTAGGGATGAGTAGTAGGATATTGATGGGGGGGGTTAGGGAAAAGGGGGGAGGGGATGAGAGGGGTTTTATAAAGGGGTGAGGGGGAATGATTGATGAAGGAGAGAATATGGTTTAGGGTTAGGAATGGGTATTTTTAAAAGTATAAGTGTTTTATTGATGAGTGTAGGATAGTGAGGAGGGAAGGATGTTGGAGTGGTTTGTTGATAATTGGTGGGGTATGTGATTATTTTGTGGTGTTTGGAAAGAAAGAGTATAAATAAGATAGAGTGTATGTTGAATGATTGGAAAGTAGTAATTGGATGGGTTGAGGGAACTATGGGGGGTTGGGGATGGGGGGGTTAAGTATAGTGTGTTTGTATATGAATGGGAAAATAATATATGTTTTGAATGAGAATTTGTGGAATAGTGGGTGTTGTGGGGAGGGAATTGGGTATATATTTAGGATGGTATAATGGGTGTAGGGGTGTTTGTTTTTTAATTGAGAGTGGAGAAGTTATGTTTTTTGTTTGGATGAAAATGGAAGGGTTTGAGGTAGTGGGATTTTGGTGTGGGGTATGAAAAGGTTGGGGGGTGTGGGGGGAGATTGAAGGGAACAAAGAGTAATGGTAATATAAACATTGGAAGACCACAATCATTTTGGTTATAAGGAGGAGACTATAGCTGTGCATATATTCAAACCATAGACTCAAATATTAATGGACATAGTCACACCTATCTCCACCGTTCAAACTAATGTACCACCACTTTTGGCTTCTTTGGGCTTGTTTAAAATGGCTGTGGGGGCAGGAAAATGTGAAAAAACACAGTTGCGCATGTGTTAGCCGGCACTAGCCCCATTCATTTGATGAGTGCATTCTGAAGTCGGGCGACAGTAGCTCAGTTGGTAGAGCATTGGCCTTAAGGCCAGAAGGTCGTGGGTTCAATTCCCACCTCTGCACCTTCTCCATCGACTCCCACTGATGACTGCTGTCGTTGTGTCCTTGGGCAAGACACTTAACCCCACTTTGCCCAAAAGCCCCCACTGAAAGATCAAGGCTATGCTCACACTCAAAAGAGCAGCCGTCCTCCTGTGGACTCACCACCTGCAGAGGATCAGTGAGGGGCTGGTGCTATGAGACTTGGGTGGCATCTCTGATTGCCACCCCCCTGACCCAGAAATGGATTAAAGGGCAGAAAATGGATGGATGGATGGATGGATTCTGAAGTCCACAGCGGATAAAGTAGACCTCTATGAACACGCATTCAGACGAGGCAGTTTTTCAATCATATTTGCCCATTCCTTAAATTTGGGACGTTTGGTGTTTTACAAAATACAGCAACCAAGATAACTCAGAATTGCCCTATCTATCTATTTCTTATCCTTTCTCTATCACCTAATTTGGATAGATTTTTAGCTAAATCATATACTACAGCTAAACAATTACAAAATAGTAACTTCCCGCACTGAGAGACACATTGATTTGAAAGTAGATCTAAATTCAGGCATATATTTGTTTGTGTTTCCTGTTAAAGTCTGAAAGTATGGTGAGCATCTCTATCATGGAATATTTGTTGTACATTAGGTGGCAGAGTGTCTCCAGATTCTCCTTTGATTGTAGTGGGTTTGAAGCACAGTGGTGATTTAAGTCTCTAAGTGGTGTTGTCCCGGTATGAACATTTAACTGATGGTTATTGTGACTGAAATAATTGCGGTTTTGGCTATTTTTCATTACCATAATTCATTTCACATTTCGCAAAAGTGGCGTTTCTATTCACGCGTCAACTTAATTAAACATTGAAAATTTGGCGTGCTTGTTTAGTAGGAGAAAAAAATGTAGACAGTCTTCTATTGCTTTTGTATATGAATGTATATATCTATGCATATATACTTAGGCAAAGGTATGATGAACGTATGGATGGATTACCTATTTCTGCTGAAAATAATATAATTCAATTCTGTACAGCCCTTTAAGTTTTGAGGGCGTCGATTCACCAACATCAGCGAATCATACAGCTTGAAATCTGAGTCTTCTGTGGTGGATTCTACTGGCGGCCATCTTGGCTTTTTGTGTACATTTTTTCAAACTGTATTTATTTGTCTCAAACGAAGAATTAAAGAATATTTGGGCAAAGAGGTAAAAAAAAAAAAAAAATTGAATGGAGAGGGACGACCAATGTCCATACATGTCCTTAATGTCCCGAATCATCACTGTCCTTAGACTCTCCTGCATCAGCAAGAAACTAATTATTAATAAACCAAGCGGAAAAAAGTGACAAATTAATGAGTGAAAAAGCAAGTAAATACAGGCGTGTGGACTGACCCGTGTCCGAAAGGGGATATGAAGTAAAAGCAGCAGTGCACTCTGTTGTCCACGATGTGTCTTCTGTTCAGGCCGCTCTCGTCGTGCAGGTATCGCTCAAACTGGTTGTCGATGTACTGAATGATGGTCTTGAAGCTGAAAACGTATGGATATACGTGTAAAATTAGGAGATGTACTGAAACGGCTCCATCTAGTGTTAGACGTGGGGTATTGCATCGGGCTTTTGTAAGGAACATCTAAAGCCAATTGTGGCCCTCTGCCTTTCCAACTAAAAGTACCATTGAGTAAGTTCACAGTTCACGGCCCCTGGACAAGTCTGGAGAACTTGAGAGACTCTTACTAAAAGATTGATCTAACAATTCGCAGTGTGGTTGAAAGCATGTTTATGAACTTAATTTGACAAGCGAAAACTAAACTACTCTACTAAAACTACCTGAGCAGGAGCACACCAAACTCCACCCGTTTCCTCACATTTTCAAGTTAAAACTAGACTCACCTGAGGATTGGGTGGAGTCTGGTGTCCTCCTGCTCCGGTAAGAACTAAAACCTGCAGCCACATCAGTTTGACACCCCTGTCTTCATGGAAAGACTGGTATAGCTGACTTTTTTTTACCTTGTCTCTCTTTTATTTGATGTGAGTCGGCAAGATTTATTCAGAGATTAACTCAAAACTGTTTCACTCAAAGTTAGTGTTTGTGTGAACCCATTTCATGTCAAATGAAGTTTTATTGTTTCAAATTATACTTCTGACCCTGATTGGAAGTCTCCAACTATAAACATGTTTTACTCAATTCGACTCGACTCGAGGACCAAGAAGGGCTGGTGGAAACGGGGCTTTAGACAGCTTGGGATCTTCTGTGGGGTTTTTTCCTCTCTGATGGTAAATCTGGCCCTTCTTGGCCAAAAACCTCCAGTTCCAGGGAAAGTTGTAATCTCCCCAGAGCAATGATGATATATTTTGAAAGTGAAACATGGCGGCACCAGCGATGACTACGCCGCTGATGTGTAACTCACTCATATATTTACATGAGCTTTCAAGCACAACTGTAGCCCACAAACAATAACATCTGGATATTACAGAAACTGTCAGAGGGGCTTGTAAAAGGAGTCCCTCGAAAGGCCACTTCTCAACGCTTACAAGAGAATTACACAAACATAAGGCTGTGTTGAAAGGGGGAATGCAGGGGGAGGATAGGTGAAGTGAGGATAGGGAGTGTAGCCTGGGGAGAGGAAGGAAGGAGTATTTTCATACTTGTTATAGTGTGACCTCTGTGGAACTACTAAAGTACACATGTTTTACACACACATTCATTCAATATAAAAATAGATAGTATGAAAAATTACAAAATTGTGATGAAAATGCCAATATATGTTTGAATTAAATGGTCAAAGCAAACTACAGCTAAGGTGGGGATGGTGTGTTCAGGGTGATGAGCTGTGTTGCTTTTACGCCAAACATATCGTTTTGCTTTGTGGCCAAAAAGTTCGATTTTGGTTTCATCTGACCAGAGCACCTTCTTCCACATGTTTGGTGTGTCTCCCAGGTGGCTTGTGGCAAACTTTAAACGAGACTTTTTATGGATATCTTTGAGAAATGGCTTTCTTCTTGCCACTCTTCCATAAAGGCCAGATTTGTGCAGTGCACGACTGATTGTTGTCCTATGGACAGACTCTCCCACCTCAGCTGTAGTTATCTGCAGTTCATCTAGAGTGATCATGGGCCTCTTGGCTACATCTCTGATCAGTCTTCTCCTTGTTTGAGATGAAAGTTTGGAGGGACGGCCGGGTCTTGGTAGATTTGCAGTGGTCTGATGCTTCTTTCATTTCAATATGATTGCTTGCACAGTGCTCCTTGAGATGTTTAAAGCTTGGGAAATCTTTTTGTATCCAAATCTGGCTTTAAACTTCTCCACAACAGTATCTTGGACCTGCCTGGTGTGTTCCTTTGTCTTTATGGTTCTCTCTGCGCTTCAAACAGTACTCTGAGACTATCAAAGAGCAGGTGCATTTATACGGAGACTTGATTACACACAGGTGCATTCTATTTATCATCATCAGTCATTTAGGACAACATTGATCATTCAAAGATCCTCACTGAACTTCTGGAATGAGTTTGCTGCACTAAAAATAAAGGGGCCGAATAATATTGCACGCCCCACTTTTCAGTTTTTTATTTGTTAAAAAAGTTTAAATTATCCAATAAATTTCGTTCCACTTCACAATTGTGTCCCACTTGTTGCTGATTCATGACAAAAAATTAAAATGTTATATCTTTATGTTTGAAGCCTGAAATGTGGCGAAATGTTGAAAGGTTCAAGGGGGCCGAATACTTTCGGAAGGCACTGTACATGAGTCACATGGCTAGATTGCACTGAATGTATGTTTATGATTGCAATGGCTGATTTTGAGTTAGCAAAGCAGATGGCCACAGAAAATGACAAAGCAGGCCGCAATTTGCTCCCGGGCCATGGTTTGGACATGCCTGGCTTAAACACACTGTGCATTGTGCGTTTAAACTACACAACCGCACTGCTCCTCGTTTTGTAATCCTTCGAAAATATGAGAAATGTCAAAAAAATGGGATTGGGATTGAGGTCAGGATAAGATGAGTAGTCTGATCTGACAGTTACCATAGTTACCAGCAAATACTTTTCATCTGCCGTCCACAACACTATATTATAGGGTCTGTGAAATGTTGTGATGTCACATAAACACAACCTATTCAAGCCTTTTAGCCTCATTCTCCTGTTGATATTGAGCTTTGGGCGCAGAGGTTAAACGCACCAGTCCTGGCTGTCGATGGCGTCGCCGTATCCCGGAGTGTCCACCACCGTGAGACGCAGCTTCACGCCGCGCTCCTCAATCTCCACGGTGGACGCTTCGATCTGCACCGTCCTCTCGATTTTCTCTGGCAAAAAAAAAAACACATTTTACAACCTATATACAACATAAATCAGGGGAAAGTGTAAAAATAGTGGGTGTTATTGAGAGATTGTGTATGCTAGGGTGAGTGTTAAATGTAAAATAGTATTTGAAGGATTTTCTTTGGCTATTTTCAAATTCTGACACAGCTAATGTAACATGCAGCTCATTATTGTTAGTCTTTGTTTGAGAGTTTGTACATTTCAATATGGTGAATATCAAAAGACAGCAAGGTTGTCAGCGTAAGCCAACTCCTCCACACAAGAGCTAATGTGGAACTATACGTGTTAATTTTAGTTTCACTTTTAGTTTTTCTGCTGCTTCTTCATGACACCTCAGTTTAATATAGTGCTTTTTTGGACTCTTCACATGTCCTTATCCTTTCACTCCATACACTATGGTGATGAACAACTAATGCAACCACAGCTGCCCTGGGGCACACCCAGTCCGATCACCACCAAGCATTCACACAGACACCAGACTCTTTTTTTAGCCTCTGTCTTGCCTAAGGACACAACAACAGTTTGGCACTTTACAGCCACAGCGCCGCCCCCCACTGGGGCACCGGGTGTTCCCATAGGTCTCCCATCTCAGTAGTAACCAGGCCCTGCACTGCATAGCTTCAGAGATCTGATGGGATATGGCTTTCACCTGCAGGTATGGCCACATATCAAGAGATGTCAGTTAAGGTGGGTTGGATGGGTTCAGCGGCCTCCAACCCTAACCCTAACGTCCCACTGGGAGGAGACCCAGGGAAAGACCTAGGACACGCTGAAGGGACTATGTACGAGAAGGACGGAGGAGGTGTCTTGGCTGCCTCTGCACCTCGGCAACGGATGAAGCAGAAGAAAATGGTTGAATGTCATTTAGATTCATTCTGGTAGATAGCTTATAAACTACGTGTAGAATAAATGTTTTCTTGCTAATAAGGTCGACATGAAGCATTCCCAGCATTCCTCTTGTAATGATGCTCTGCTGGAGACACAGAGGCAGACGCTTACCCTTTATTACACCGTCCATGTGTACCTGTGTGTGTGTGTGTGTGTCTGTGTGTGCGTCAGTGTACTCTTTACCTGCGGCTCCAGGGATGTAGCGCTCAGGATAGAGATCAGTGAGAAACAGACTGTTTATCAGAGTGGATTTTCCCAAACCAGACTCGCCTGGAACCAAGAAAAGCACATTTGATCCTTGTGTGGAATCAAAAACACTGTAGTCTTGGAATTATTCATTTCAAAACCCAACAGCAGGGTACAAAAACAAACAGCAATACAGTTTGAAAAGGGGGTTGGACGAAGCAGACGCTCATCCTCACTCTCATAAAACACAAAAACGCACACATACAAACGAGACACAGGCCCAAAAACCCCTACACCTCTCTCCCATTACTCACCCTGTGCTGACCTACTCTTTTTATTTTATTTTTTAACAATATCATATTTGAACACGTTAAAATCTGGTAGGTCTCGTCAAAAGGTAGATATTAGTAGAGAATCACATTGATTTTGAGGTACCGTAAATTCCGGACTGCGGCTTATACTGAGGTGCGGCTTATAGTCCGGAGAATACGGTAGTTCTAAATGTAGTAACATACATTTTTCTTGCTATTTGTCTGTAATCATGGTGAGAATTAGCCTGACTCTCGCCAGACCCATGTAGTTCGCTGCACTTCACACATGAGTCTGGTACTGAGCCATAGTGGTTGGATTTCAGAAGGCAGGGCCTTGTAAAAAAAATCCTTGTATGTGATTGGATAGACCACTTGTCCGTTATCTTGAATGAAGTCTGCTTTCAACCACTCACATCGAAGCACACGGCTCCCATAGGTTGCCAAATCCCAGCAAGATTTTCCAACCCAAAATCCGCGAGAATACCCACACAAAAAAACCACTCAGAATGACTTTTTGGCTAAAAGGGCGGCACGGTGGCTGAGTGGATAGCACTCTCGCCTCTCAGCAAGAAGGTCCTGGGTTCGAATCCCGGCCGGACCAGGGCCTTTCTGAGTGGAGTTTGCATGTTCTCCCCGTGTCTGCGTAGGTTTCCTCCGGGTACTCCGGTTTCCCCTACCACTAAAAATATGTCCAATAGGCCTGGCATGCGCCTCCTGTTCGGCGACCCCGCTCCCATCTCTGTGTGGAGTGAGAGACAAATGCCCAAAAAATAACAATTGTAAACCGCTTTGTGACTCTGGTCTGTGAAAGGCGGTATATAAATAAAGCTTACTTACTTACTTACTTACTAAAAACGTAATGTAATCAACTTGGGCTATCATTATTCTGTTTATTGTCTTTCTGTTTATTTAATACCTACAAGTCTCTTGGAAAAAAATATGCGGGAACCACCAAACCTGGCAACCCTGCTGCATAGTGTGTAAACAGGAACACTGAACCAGTGCTTCAACCAAACTTTACAGGAACATATGACTCTTAAAACACACATATCAACATAGAACCATCTACATCTCACCTCAAATTGCATTAAAAGTGACATCCGTGTCTTAATTCGATCGTATTTACTCTTTCAAAAAGATTCGCGGACGTTACGTCCGCCATCTTGGATTCCTCTCGCTGCTGCATGAGAGAAGCTTGAGAAGGCAGTGCAAACCCCACGTAACACTGGCAATCCTGATTGGTCGATTAAAAAAAAATCTGGGGAAGGCGTTCGCTACAGACCCATGTGGTTCAGCCAAACGCCACTGGTGGAGCATGGCGGAACTACAAGGGCCTGGCAGAGCCAGGCTAGGTGAGAATCTCTTTATAATGAAATAAATTTTGTACACGATGTGGCAGAGAGTTTAAACCAGAGGGAGTTGGAGTAAAACTTCGTCCATGAGCACTTCCCTATCGGGCTTCATTGAGCTCAGGGGTTAGCGATGTCCATCTGTATACAGTCTATGGCGCTGAGTCAGCACCAGCTTCCAGCAAATTTTGAGTGGCTACTGATATAAATGGTTCTGAAATGGGAACAGGCGCCAGACTCCAATCCAAACATTTCATGAACACACACTTTCCAAAGCGCGGCACAACAATAAACGAATGGAATTTGGTTGGAAAAGGGGTACGAGAGTTTGTGTTCAGTGACTTCATATTATCGTCATTCCAACACATTTAGCTAACTTTTCTTCTGTGGAAACGTATGAGTGTTTTCCCAGGAAATCTTTGATAAACATAATATTTACCGACAACCATGAGCGTGAACTCGAAACCCTTTTTAACAGACTTGCGATGCACTTGGTTCGGAAGATTAGCGAATCCCACGTAGCCGGTGGCATCTGGAAACTACAGCGAGGAAGGAAAAAGGAAACACAGGCGAAAGTTAAAATCGTGTTGTAGATTAATAACGGTCGAGAATCATCCACTGAAATTTTTCAACAGGTTTTTGTTACATTTCGAAGCCTTAACATTTAGTGAGATGGATGATCATGCATGCAATCAAGAAGGCCGTCCGGGCAATAAACGGCACTTGCGTTTCTGCAGGATATCCTCTGTGGATGCCTGGTTTCGAGAGATTACAAGCACAAAAGCTCATTACCACCGTCACATGGATCCTCTACGCGAGAAGTAGATTTACCTCCTGCCATGCAACCATTCACCAGATGAGAAAAGCGGCAGAGATCGACGATTGCGCCCATTTTTACGGCAAACAAAAGATTTGTTCCACATTTATTGCTAAATAATCATACTGTGGTGTTTATATTAAGGCTGTTATTAAGGCTTTTGACCAAAACAAAGCGTTGTCCCTGGAGACAGCGTGTTGTTTGGAATGAAAATACTTTGTAAACACATTTTTATTTCATCTTCAAGTCATTATAGAATTATACGAGTCGTAAAAACCTCTTCTTAGTTTAAAGTTTTGTCTTCTTAGTTTTGTGTGCACCATGTGCACTTGTATATTGTAAATAGTAACTAACTCTATTTTAAATTTAAATTTATTCTTTAGAATTGTTTTTTATTCTTTATTTTTATTCTTTATTTTAATTATCTCTTTCTGACTGTTGCACTGAGCCAAAGCAATTTCCAAGTCTGTGACTTCCTGTTACTTACGTGGCAATAAAAATGAATCTGATTCTGAAAGAGACAGTATGTAATGAGCACTGGTTACTTATGCAATCCACCTGCTGGAGTTAAGCTAGAAATACTACAAACTCTTTACGTTTGACCTTTTATGTTTGGCACCTGGTTTTATATTCAAATATATGTGGTACTATTTTGTGTGTAAATTGGAGCCAAAACGATTGATAAATGATATATATAGATTTACTGATATTGAAACATTCACAGCTAACTGAGAAGCATAGCAGCTATCTTAAAACCAGATTTATTTCACCTAACAAATTGGGAACCCACCAGACAAACCCATTCTGCTCTCTGATTGGATAATTTTCATTATTTTTGTCAAACTAATATATCCATTGTGTTTTTAAACAAGAATTTTAACTTGAAATTTAAACCTTTGTCCAGAAAATGTCAAATACCGGTATATCAATTGTGACCAAATATCTGGGGACACATATAAAAGTTGTTGATGTAATTTAAAATGAATTACTGTCTCTTTAAGTCTGTAATGTTCAACGATAAATCATTTACTATTTTAATTGATTTGTTGCAATTCATTGATTCACTTGTTACTAGTTTATCTTATAATCTATGTCACAGGAGTGGGACACAAGTGATGCTAAATTCAGTAACTATTTTACCGAGATTAGCAACCTTTGGCGGGAGAAGAAAGCCGGAGCATTTCCACAGATTTACAAAACTGCAAATTGATTGAAGAATTGGATTTCTAAAGCAAAGGCTCCCAGCAAGTTCAATTAAATGAGTTAAAATATAGAGGCATTTTTGCATTGACTGACCCAAGACAGGTTCTCTGCTGGTTGAGAGTCACAATTTGACTTCCCTCTTATATCAGCTGTTCCGGCCTGAAACATCTGGGAACCCCTGGATTAGGGCAAAACAAAACAAAAACCAAACAGAAAAATGTTTGCATACCTTTCCCTTTTCTCCGGACATGTCGATGTGTCTGTGCCTATGAGAAAAAGAAGACCAGGCAGTATGATTATCAAAGTTTCAGGTAACTTTATTTGTCACCTAACTTTCAATCGACAAAAATGGAAATCCTCCCTCAGCCAATCAGCCTAAAGAGACAAGTAGTGACTCACATGGCTCTTTTATATGTATCCAAAAGACAAAATGTTTTCTACTAAGATGAAGACAGAATGTTAGCGGCATATGAACCAAATCTGACTGAGGATCACAGGGACTGACCTACTGCTGGTGCCCAGAGTCGGGGCTAAGCATGAGGAGAAACCATTTCAGATTCATGCAGCTAAAATCTGAGACAAGCTTCTAACTTTGACAATGTTCAAATCCAGCTTAAAAACAGTTGACTTTGTCTTTGCTCTAATTAATGTATTGTGATTATTTGTGATTGTAATGCCATCTTGTTTTGTTAAGCACTCTGAGTAGCATTTTCTATGAACTGTGCAATACAAATAAACTTCCCTTGCCTTGCCTGATTTGTTCACAGCATTTTACTTTTGGTGCTGATGTGACGGAGACCAAAAAAAACGAAAACACTTGCATAGATTGTATTACATTTGTGGTCTGAAAGTTACAGTGTCTTGCGAAAGTATTCGCAGTAGTACATTTCAGGCTTCAAACATAAAGATATAAAAATTAAATTTTTTGTCAAGAATCAACAACAAGTGGGACACAATCGTGAAGTGGAACGAAATGTATTGGATAATTTAAACTTTTTCAACAAATAAAAAACTGAAAAGTGGGGCGTGCAATATTATTCGGCCCCCTTGTGCTAATACTTTGTAGCGCCACCTTTTGCTGCAATTACAACTGCAAGTCGCTTGGAGTATGTCTATCAGTTTTGCACATCGAGAGACTGGAATTCTTTCCCATTCTTCCTTGCAAAACAGCTCGAGCTCATTGAGGTTGGATGGAGAGCGTTTGTGAACAGCAGTCTTCAGCTCTTTCCACAGATTCTCGATTGGATTCAGGTCTGGACTTTGACTTGGCCATTCTAACACCTGGATACGTCTATTTGTGAACCATTCCATTGTAGATTTGGCTTTATGTTTTGGATCATTGTCCTGTTGGAAGATAAATCTCTGTCCCAGTCTCAGGTCTTTTGCAGACTCCAACAGGTTTTCTTCCAGAATGGTCCTGTATTTGGCTCCATCCATCTTCCCATCTTCCCTGTCCCTGCTGAAGAAAAGCAGGCCCAAAGCATGACGCTGCCACCACCATGTTTGACAGTGGGGATGGTGTGTTCAGGGTTATGAGCTGTGTTGCTTTTACGCCAAACATATCGTTTTGCATTGTGGCCAAAAAGTTTGATTTTGGTTTCATCTGACCAGAGCACCTTCTTCCAAATGTTTGGTGTCTCTCCCAGGTGGTTTTAAACAAGACCTTTTATGGATATCTTTGAGAAATGGCTTTCTTCTTGCCACTCTTCCATAAAGGCCAGATTTGTGCAGTGCACGACTGATTGTTGTCCTATGGACAGACTCTCCCACCTCAGCTGTAGTTATCTGCAGTTCATCCAGAGTGATCATGGGCCTCTTGGCTGCATCTCTGATCAGTCTTCTCCTTGTTTGAGATGAAAGTTTGGAGGGACGGCCGGGTTTTGGTAGATTTGCAGTGGTCTGATGCTCCTTCCATTTCAATATAATTGCTTGCACAGTGCTCCTTGAGATGTTTAAAGCTTGGGAAATCTTTTTGTATCCAAATCCGGCTTTAAACTTCTCCACAACAGTATCTCGGACCTGCCTGGTGTGTTCCCATGGTTCTCTCTGCGCTTTAAACAGAACCCTGAGACTATCAAAGAGCAGGTGCATTTATACGGAGACTTGATTACACACAGGTGCATTCTATTTATCATCATCAGTCATTTAGGACAACATTGGATCATTCAAAGATGCTCACTGAACTTCTGGAGTGAGTTTGCTGCACTGAAAGTAAAGGCACTGTCGCTCCCCTAGCTTTAAATCCACAATCCAACCCAAGCAGCTTCCAACCACTTTCCTCCTCCTCCACAGCGTCGGGAGCTCTATGTGTGTGGGCAGACGACAGAGTTGATAAATTAGCCACATAATGACAGAGCCGGAAGAGCTGTGCCGGGTTTTATCTGGAGGCACAGTGGGCCGTGGCAGGTGCGCCGTGATAAGCGTTCACAAAGAGGCAAACGACGTGTGCCGCTGCCACAGACCGAGCTCTCAAGAATGTCAGCGTCTTGTTTAACCTTCTGTTACTTTTTCTGAAATAATGTAATCAATTAAAGCGGTGGTGGGGCATGTCATGTCTAAGAAAGTGGGCAAAGAGTAGGGCTGCATTATTCATTCACAATATATGTTTTATTTATGTATATACGTTTATTTTGTAACTTGTTTTTGTTGATTTAAGTTGCATGAAATAGAAGATTGTGAAAAGTACTTTGCGACATACAACAAAAAGATGACTTACTACCTCCTATGTAGATTTCTAGATAAGCCATTAAAGGGGTACCCAACTTTCAAACTCTAAAAATGGAAATATGCAATATGGTCCATGTCAGTAGTTTCTCAATATTTATTGGCCTCAGATTTTATAGACCGAAAAAGAAAAAAAGCCTCAAAAGTCAAATTGTGACAAAAAGGGGCGTCTTATGAGTATGCGAAAGACTACTACTACTACTACTACTGCTACTGCTACAGCATGTTTATTAAATGTTATATATAAATGTTAGTGTTAAACGTGTGTTAGTGTTGACTACAAGAATGATGTGTGAAAAGAAAATAATCTTGTATGTCAATTAAAAATATTGTATTAATGATTTATGTCTTTAATACAGCAAAGATGGTGTGTGATGACAGGGTTCTTCATCAGGTCCACACGGAGAACAATGGCCGTTTGTCGCAGCAGTTCCTGAAGTTTAAGGCGTGAGGGAAGCACTGAGCGGGTCACCCCTGCTCCCAATCGGACCAGGACCAAGAGCCATCCGAGCCTAGAGCCAAGAGGCCACCAGTTCACTTCTACAACGTCATTCCTGCTAAGGTCATCATAGTTTACTTTAACTATTGTTTGTGCCAAAGTCCAAGTTTCCAAAAACACTCAAGTATTTATACAATTAAAGCTGCACTAACTGACTTTGGGATTTTGAAGCCGCGGCCTCGCTGGCCTCCCTCTTTCTGCTCCCCTCCCCGCACCCACAAAGCTATCGCCCCCCACACACACGGACTGTTGTTTACGGAGCTAGCGTCTCCAAATATGGATAATACATGGATATGGATTTGCACGTGGATGGCGTGACCATAGAACGATAGAACCGGGAAGCACGGAGGAACGGGACTTTCTTTTGGATGGCTGTCTCGCTGTGTAAGCAGTAACCGGTGACGAAGACGAGGAAGTTTCAGGTTAGCTCCTCGGCTTGTTGTGCTAACTCAGCTGTCTGTGCTAACGGAGACCTGTAGATTTCTCACAAAAGTGGGGGCTAGTGGTGCGCTGTGATTGGTCACAATCTGAGACCCGAAACACATTCTCTTCCTTGTTTCATCAAAACTCGATCTAAAATATAATGACACGCCTGCACAAACCTGAGCTACTTTTTCTTCAAAAGGACGTATATCCCATGCACTACATGGACATGGATAGCATTTTTGTAATGAATACAAAAATAAAGTCAGTTAGTGCAGCTTTAAAGAAGAGATCCAGTGCCGTTTCCATGGTGATAATCCATTACCTTTTCAAAACACCACAAATGGATAACTCTGGGTGTTCTGTCTATGGCTCTAGTGAACATGCAGACATATACAGTGCCTTGCGAAAGTATTCGGCCCCCTTGAACCTTTCAACATTTTGCCACATTTCAGTCTTCAAACATAAAGATATACCATTTAATTTTTTTGTCATGAATCAACAACAAGTGGGACACAATCGTGAAGTGGAACGAAATTTATTGGATAATTTAAACTTTTTTAACAAATAAAAAACTGAAAAGTGGGGCGTGCAATATTATTCGGCCCCTTTACTTTCAGTGCAGCAAACTCAGTCCAGAAGTTCAGTGAGGATCTTTGAATGATCCAATGTTTTCCTAAATGACTGATGATGATAAATAGAAGGCTCCTGTGTGTAATCAAGTCTCCGTATAAATGCACCTGCTCTTTGATAGTCTCAGAGTTCTGTTTAAAGCACAGAGAGAACCATGAAGACAAAGGAACACACCAGGCAGGTCCGAGATACTGTTGTGGAGAAGTTTAAAGCCGGATTTGGATACAAAAAGATTTCCCAAGCTTTAAACATCTCAAGGAGCACTGTGCAAGCAATTATATTGAAATGGAAGGAGTATCAGACCACTGCAAATCTACCAAGACCCGGCCGTCCCTCCAAACTTTCATCTCAAACAAGGAGAAGACTGATCAGAGATGCAGACAAGAGGCCCATGATCACTCTGGATGAACTGCAGATAACTACAGCTGAGGTGGGAGAGTCTGTCCATAGGACAACAATCAGTCGTGCACTGCACAAATCTGGCCTTTATGGAAGAGTGGCCATTTCTCAAAGATATCCAATAAAAGTCTCTTAAAGTTTGCCACAAGCCACCTGGGAGACACACCAAACATGTGGAAGAAGGTGCTCTGGTCAGATGAATCCAAAATCAAACTTTTTGGCCACAATGCAAAACGATATGTTTGGCGTAAAAGCAACACAGCTCATCACCCTGAACACACCATCCCCACCTCAGCTGTAGTTACAGTAGGTCCCATTTCGTTTTGTCGTCTTCATTCACGCTTTTCGGGAATCACGCAGCTGCGTGAAAAATATTACATCTTATTGCCACAAGGTGGCAGGCTAAGTCCGCTTTAGGTCTGCCAGCGACTTAGACGCTCAGGTATCATACTGCGTGCAAACCTGTCTAGCCTAGAGATGCTATGTTGGCCGAATGGTTAGCATTAAAGACTGGGACCTGGAGAACCCAGGTTCGATTCTTGTCTGAGGCAATTTTGGTTGCACATGTTTTGGTTGCTTGTGTGCAAT